CAAGATAACAACAATACGTGCCTGTCAAAGCCCAAGCAGTACAAAGAACGCCAAGGGTCCTGCTGCTGAGCAGGACGCTGCGGCCGCCGGGGGGGGCTCCCTGGGCAGGGTGGGAAGGGGGACGAAGGCAGCTCTGAAAAGTGGGCAGTAAAAAGGGTTCCCGCCAGGCCCCCCTCAGGCCCCGGTGGGCATTCCTCCTTCCAAGGGGCAACCCCATAAGTCGGAAGCGGACCGCAGTGGCTGGGACCGATTAGGCTGCCGCTTTGCCCCGAGGGGGTGCCCTGCACGGCTGAGAGAAGGAAGTTACCCAACCCCCTGGGAAATGCCAGAAGAGGTTAGAGTTACGCACACATACTTATGTTTGGTGCATACTGCATCCCTTCCATGTACTTAGAATTTGAGTTTACTCTGCTCAAAGCAGGGTATAGCAGGACCCCGAGCTGGTCCTCCCTCCTGGAGCAGCTGACCCCTCGCGGCATCCTCGCCAAGGCACACGCTTCTCAGAGTCTCATCTCAGACCCAGAGCCCCCTCGCCTGGGGCTCCTGCCCCTGACTCCTGCTTTCCCCTCCCTAGAGATGTGACTGCAGGTTCCCTGAATACTGTCGACCAGCCCTGCCCGGCCCAGGACTCTGCTAGCCAGGGCTTGGCCAGGGGACTCCACCCCTCTGTCAAACCGGCTGGAATAAAAGCGATTTCTAGAATGGCTGCATTCTTTTCTCCTCATAACGCGCTCAGCAGAATTTTAGGATTATTTTGTCTGCATCCTAAGGAGGAGGACCTCTACTCGCCTGTATCACGGGGCCACCTCTTGATGCACAGCTCATGGTACCCGGCACCCAGAATCCAAGGGAAAGGGTAACTTCCCTCCTCCGTTATCGGCAATTCCAAGTGGGTGGAGTGATGACTCTAGGAAAGCCAAGTGCCCCAAAGCCCTGCACTAGCTCAGGCCGCTGTGTGTCAAGCCACAGATGAAATGCCACCTGCGGAGAGCCCCTACGACCCAAATGACAGGACTGTGTCTCAGGCTCCTAGCTGGTGCTCTGCCACACTAAATCCCCTCAAGGAACACACCCAAAGTCCCTCTCTGACCCGCGGCTGTTAGATAAGTATGGACGTGCCATCTCAATTGTGGCCACCTCTGGGTTCCTGACACCACCCTTGTAACCGGCAGGTACCACACGGGCCAAAGCCGCACAGGCCCTGCTCGCATGCAGGCACTGGGTTCCTGACACCATGGGCCAAAGCCGCACAGGCCCTGCTCGCATGCAGGCGCCTCCACACCCAAGCGGCCTGCCCGCCCTCAGGAAACTGGCAGCGCATCCTTTAGGCTCGTGTCCCCGCCTGTTAAAAACGGGGATAACGGCCCCGTCCCGCACACCTCAGCAGCAACAGACCACCGTAGGTGCAGCGTCGGCACAAAGTAAGTTCTCAATGAACACAGATCTTATTGTGATTCCTACTTGTTCCAACTTGTCCCAAATCCTGGCAAGTAAAAGAATAACTCGGAACCAAAACGATCCTTTTCTTAAATTTCCTAACTCAAGCCCCAACGCCAGCGTTTAAGCAAATACAGTTTGATTATCGTGTGCTGAAAATCTCGAAGGAAGTGTACAGAACTATGCCCCACCCCTCCTCCCCTTTCCTTCGAAGAAAATGGATGGAAGACCCAGGCTGGTCCCTGAGGGTGACCTTCAGCCCCTGTGCTGCACCCACCTTGACCAGGACCACCTTCACGGGCATGTGACTCGTGAGCCCCTGCTCAGATGGGCCTCTGCTTAACTCAACAACTCTGCTATCATTATCTTGAAATCCTCAGTAAGTCTGGATGCAGGAGCCTTGTGTTTTCATTTTGCACCAGGGCCAAACACTCTGTCCCTGACCCCCATTCTTTAGTCCTGGCAGGTGCCAGCGCCGTAGACTGTCCTGGGCAGGGCGTAGGGTAAGGTGCCCACCTGCATCTGCCTGGCAGACCTCCAGGAGCTTCCTCCTCTCCATCAGGAGGCGTGAGTGCTCACACACCCTCCTCCCGGGCCTTTGGTTCTGAGCTCCCTGCCGCCCCATGAAGAACCCCAAGCAGAGCCAGCGTCCAGAGGGACTGCTCCCGGGCAGCCCTCCTTCTCCCCCGTCCCTGGAAAACAGAACACCCCACCTTCCCTTACAGTGCTCCCCGCACTGCACCATGGAGGGCCTCTTCCCTGCCGACCTGCTGACTGGCCCAGACCAAGCGCCTGGCTGGGCTGCGGGGCCTTCCGCCATCCCCGCTGCCACCCAGACTCCCGTCCGGGCACTGACTGCACCCTGGCCGTCTGGCTCCCGCCCTCCCTGGGGTGCTGTATGGTCTGTGCGAGCTTTCTAGAATTTTCTAACCAGGGCAGAGCCCTGCCTTTCCCCCATGTCAGCTACAATTTTTCAATTTTGCAAATGAAATACTGGGAAAGGAGGGTGGGAGTGAGGTGGCTGGAGGGCAGTTTTTCAGGACAGGATGGCATTGGACATCTGCAGGGTGCCAGGAACAGTGGCCACACTGGCCGGATCCTCACTCTTTACTTAGGGGGTGGGGAGGGCTGGACAGCAGGGTCTGTAGGTGGGGGACGCAGCCAGGGCAGTCACCGCCTGTTGTAAATACACTGTCTCTTCATAGGGGGCGAGGGCTGCGTGTTTCTGCTCCCAAGTTCCCTTTGCCCCAGAGCTCAGAGGCCTGGCCTGCTACACCGTCCACCAAAGCCGGCAGAGTAAAAACACCAAACGAGCAAACGGAAGACGCCTGGCCTGGTGTCCCCGTGGTAAGCAGGCCACATGGGGTCTGACGAGCTGGGCCGGGGGTAGCTCCTGGGCTCAGTGCTGTAGCAGCGTAACCAGGATTACCATGGAAAGACAGCCACGTGTTCTGTGACTCCACATAAAGACGTAACACACACACACACACACACACACACACACACACACACACACACACACACACACGGGGATCCCTGTGACTGGGCGAGTTCCCTCGGGTTTGGGGTAACGCCTATGGTCAGTTATGCCCGAGGACTTAATTAGAAGCCAAAAATACAGAGCCTATCAATAAAGGATTTATTAATACCTATTAAATCAAGGCCTTTCTGACACGCTTCACCTGGCATCTTCAAAAGCTCTGCAAACACCCCTTCTTTGATCTTTTAGCATCCCCGAGAAGAGTGAGCGGGAAATTTTCTTCTTGGGGAAAACGAGGTCCAGAGAAACTGCGGAAACTGCCTAAGGCCACACGGCAAGTCAGGGACGGAACCAGAAGCAGGAGCCAGGGCACCTGGTGCATCAGTGTGACCTCTGTGTTCCTTTCTGCGCTGGGCCACCAACTAGTGGGACGAGCACTCTGCTCACCAGCGGCTGGCGAACTTTACGAGTGGGATGATTTTTACAAATGAGCAACAGTGTGACCGTAAGCATCAAAGCAAACCTTTTCAGTCCTACACAGGGGCGTTTCTTCCCTTGTAAGCTGTAAATGGTAAGTATTACTTCTTTCTCTTTTTAAAGACTTGGATTATTCTGGCTGTCCACATGGAGAAGCCTTAGCATTCAGCAGCTTTCAATCGAGGACTAACGGACAACAAAATTCAGGATGAAGAACCAACAGCCTTAATAATTGGGGCTTGCCCTGGAAACGAACGTACAGAGAAACCGCCTGGAAGTGGTTTTACTGAGGCGGTGTCTGTTACCACCCTTGAGACCGTGCCTGGTACTAGATGTGGATTCACAGTTTCTGGCCCAGACCTGTGATTTGGGCCTCGATGTCCTAATGTATAACATAGGAGATGAGAAACGTTTATCCACGAAGAGCAAACAGAGTGGCTAAGATACCGCCTTGGAGCCCCGAGTGCGACAGACCCCAGATGAATACTTCAGCGGCAGGATCTGGTTGCCGGACTCTATTAGTTGGTCTGCAGGATCCCCACATCCTGTGTACGGCTGAAGGTCGGGGCAGGAAAGGGTTAAGGTACCCCCCTGCTTTCTGAGTGGGTGAAGGCACAGCGGGGACAGGCGAAGCGGCCTTGACTCCATGAGACTTCCGCCCTGCAAGTGTTTACTGAGTGCTGGACAGGACAGCACGTGGGGGTGGGCGAGCTCAGAACCATGCGGAAGTGAAGGCGTGGGGGGAGGCTCTCTCCAGTGGCTCTGACTCTGGACCAGGACTTCAGGGAGCCTCCTCTTCCTCCTGTCCCTCAGGCTGAGTCACCAAGTCTCTTACTGACCTCTCTGAGTAACTTCCTGCTTCTCCGAAAGGGGCTATTATGCAGAATCCCAGCGGCCATCTGGTCCAGCCTCCTCCTTCCGCAGATGAAGGAAGTGCGGTGGAGAGGGGCTCAGGGGCTGGCAGAGGGTAAATGAGTAACTGCTGTCAGGACTCACTCTTGGGACATCTGTCCTGGGCTCTTTCTCACACCAGGAAAATCTGGTGACGAGAGAGAACGAAGTTGTTTCGAGCTGGTAGTC